TTGTTGCAGCATTACCAAAAATAATTGATTCAGTCTTAGATGCCTTTTTTAGAGAGGAGAACCAATTTTTATCACCGGTCATATGCTGCGAATAACCGGAATCCACGATCCACACGTTCTCCTTCCTTGCCACCAAAGCCTACACACAAGCAGAAGTCGAAGCCTTAGTACTGGGGTTAGATGATAATAAAAATTTAGGAATCCAGTACTGAGACACACGACCAGAAGATCCAATAGGCATATATCCACGTGCAAAATCAACTTTAGAATTTTCAGAAAAATTCCTCCGAGGCCGGTCTGACCGAGGTACAGTGGCCGGTCAGACCGGGGGCCGGTCTGACCGCTTCTGTACTGCAGGTCTGACCGGTGCCCGGTCTGACCGACACTCAGTAGCCGGTCTGACCGGTCGGCGGTCTAACCGCGGGACCCACTGCAGTCTGACCGGTTCCTCGAGGGAAAACCAAATTTTTGCCACTTTGATTTTGCAAAAGCAATCTCTCTCTCCTTTTTCTGTTTATGTGCTAATCTGAAACAAAAACCAATAATATGTCCATCTTTGGCGCAAAAAGAACAAGTATATTTTTCACGATGATTAGACACATTGGTAGCATTAGTAGATTTAGCAACATGAGCAACAACAGGAGATTTTGCGTGCACAACATTGGATTATACCAACAGATTTAAACACAGTTTTGTTAGCATCAGGTTTAACCAAAATCTCACCACTTCTAGCACCAACACCTAACACAACAGGAGGATGTCTAGAATTATGAGCATAAGGATTAAAACCTAAACCACGGTTATGTGTGCTAACCTTTGATTGATCCAAAATCATGTTGAGGTTCTTTTTACTATCAGAAAATCTTAGCAAAGAATTTTTCAAATAAGAAACCTCTTTTTCCAAATTATCACAATTTTCACAATCTACCATGACACCTTTGCTTTTACGACATTTGGGGCAAAAAAGCACTTCATTGTTTTTCACAACATCTTCCATGTACTCAACACAACCTAAAGCATCTTTTAGTTTCATCTTATTCAAATTACACGTCGAGCAATCCAAAACATCATGAGGTTGTTTTAACTTTTTAGCAGAAATCATGTTAAACATCAAACTAGCATGAAAAGCAATTTGATATTTTTGCAACAACTTTTTAGTTAAAAACAACTCATCCAAAGTGTGTGTGTGCAAAGCAAAACTACAAGCAAGAGAAGTTTTATTTTTCAAATCATGTGCAGCATTAACATCTCTAATTTTTGAAATCTCATTCATTAAAACCTCACAATTTTCACAATCATCATCATTAGGAATAAGAGATTTTAATCTAGCAATTTCAGATTTAAGAGATTCAATGATAAATTCCTGTTTTCTATACATCTTCTCACACTTCTTATTTTTTGCACTCAAAATATTAATAGCTTCCTCAAAAGCACTCACCTCATTATCTTCATACTCTGTGTCAGATTCACCACGCGCCATGAAGCAAACATTGGAGATGTTCTTTCCCTTATCATCATCTCCACTTTCACCATCTACATCACTTAGTGGCTCGAAGGCGGCGCAAACTTGTTGAAAAGCCTTCCTAAGATTCTCCATCTTCCTCCCTTGGTATGAACCCTTCGACTTGTTGTTGTTGGGCTTGTTGTTGTTGGTCTTCTCACCATCTTTGTCTTCTCTTTTGCCTCTCCCAAGCTTAGGACAATGCGAACGAAGATGATCAATTGAACCACATTCAAAGCAATGATTTGGACCACCTCTTTTCCTGTTCCTGGCATTATTCATAGCTCGAGCAATTCTGTTAGCAACCAAAGCCAAATCCTCCTCCTCGATTTGTTCGAGTTGATCATCGGATGTGGCATTAAAAACAGCAAGAAAAGAAGGCTTAGATGAAGAAGCATCAACATCCGAAGAAGAAGAAGAAGAAACCAAAGCACTCGACTTAGAATCAACTTTTCGAGAAAGAACATTCATCTCATGTGTTTTCAATTTTGTTTAAAGTGAATCCAAAGTCAAAGTAGACATGTTAACAGACTCCTGAATAGATGTAACTTTTATTTCCCAAATAGACATGTCAAGACCATTCAAAAAGTGGCGAGAAATCTTAGATTGTAGATAATTAGCATCATAAGAAGAATCAACAGATCTAAGATCACTCAAAATTTTATTAAATCGAGAAAGATAGTCATCCAAAGCTTCTCCAGATTTCATCTCAAATTTAATTACTCCTTTTTGAAAAGATCACGATGAAGTTCTTTAATATTATTTGTTCCTTGATGAAAATTACTCAAAGCAGTCCAAATCTCATGAGCAGTTTGAAGATGAGCAACACGATCATAATCCGAACGAGAAATACCATTCAAAAGAATATTGCGAGCTTTGCAATTTTGTTCAAAAGCAGTTTTTTCAGTAGCGGTATTAATAGTTTCAGGAATCACATAAGGATGAGAAACTTTTCTCCAAATATCATAATCTTCAGCCATAATATAAGATTGCATCCAACTACACCAATGAGAAAAATCCGTTCCATCGAAAACATGAGGCTTAGTTGAAAACCTAGTGTGAGTAGCCATGGCAAAAACTCTAGATCGATAAAAATCCAAAGAAGAAAACAAGGCTCTGATACCACTTGTAGGATCGAATCACAAGAACTAAGCCAACTAGAGGGGGGTGAATGGTTGGTATACCCAAAAACCAAAAACTTTCAGCGGGAATAAAAGTTACCCTCGAAATCGACGGAGATCGGTCTGACTGAAGTAACCTTGCCGGTCTAACCGCTCGGATGCCGTCGGTCTGACCGGTATAGATCAACCGGTCTGACCACCGAAGCTGCTCGCCGCTCCTGTCGCCACCGCCGGTCTGACCGCCGTGCTCCCATCGGTCTGACCACCGCTTGCCGCTGGTCTGACCGCCGGTAGATCGCCGGTTAGACCACCAAAACCCGATAAACACAAATCGAAGAACTCCTAAAGTGAATGACGACTTTATTACTTCTCTCTGTGTTTACAAAGTGCACCAACAACACTCCTTACAAAAATCTCGACTAAACTCGAAACCCTAACTCAAAACTCAACTCTATTGCTCCCTAAAGCGACACCGGGAAGCCTCACGCTCCCCCTCTATTTATACATGAGGTAGGCAGCCTAAAGCCACGAACCAAACTCATACTAAGAGTCCTAAACACCTTAGGAAACCCTCTAGTACAAGAAAGAAACTTTACATAAACAATCGTACCAAATTTGGACTCCTTCCAAATTCAACTCCGCATCCCATACGCACACAATAACTCCATCGTATGCCATATGGAATCTCCATCAACCACGTGCATCAACTCTGGCCTAAGTATCCCGTATGATCTCTGACCACCACGGACGTCGCCTTATCCCCAAGCCGACTCCCGGTTCATCACCGCAAATACTCTCCCGAGACATCAAGTCACCTACACATGGAACAAACAAAGAAACCATATAACGAGACCAAACTATCTCCAACTTGACTCATTAGCAGCAAACAATAGTATTACATACGTATAGTTTCCATCTAGAAGCTATAATCATGAAATAAACTCGGATATCCAAATAAACAATCCGAAACCGAAACCAACACAGTGTCGGCCGGTCAGACCGTGGGCTGGCCGGTCCGACCGCTCGATCATCGCCGGTTTGACCGGTAAACACAACCCGGTCTGACCGGTCACATAAAGTAATGAACCCTGCGATCACCTGTGAATCCAATCATCTCCAAAACCACTTCGTGAATAAATTCCAAATAACAAAACCAATAATTTCCAATGCCCAATTGTTCATCACAGAATAATAATCAAAAACACCTTTGATTTTATAATCGTAACGTGTGTTTAACTTACTCAACACTCACCAGTCATTACTTCCTAAGGGACAAAAAAAAAACTGATGTTATTTGCACTTCTCAATCGTCAGAAACATAGATAAGATGGAAAAACATGTCATGTACATTCATTAAACACGTCATGTACATTCATTAAATACATTCAAAACTGATGTTATTTGCACTAAAACACGTCATGTACATTCATTAAATACATTCAAAACATTGATAAGATGGAAAAACTTCCTTCAAAGTTCCAACCTCCTCCCCCTGTAATTTACACCACTACATATACTATACCTTCAAGCTTCTGTGCATGTTCAGCTAGCCACACTTCTGCCAAGAACATTAGTAGTAGTTACAGAAGCAGTGGAGAGCCGGAGAGGTCAGCCATTACCATGCATACCAAGAAGCCTGAAGAACTTCAGTTAACTAACTATATATGTCTCTGGTTTTATGCAAGATAGGCCAGAATCGCGAAATGGTTATCAAGTGCTTCGAACTGTTTCTGAAACCTTGGCGATTGTCATGATCCCTAGGTGATATCCAATTCTATGATGCTGAGCTCCAACCTTAACACAGCGGTGGTTCAGTATGCTGCCTTGTAGGCCAAATATTAGTAGTAGGAAAGCACTTGGTCAACCTAATCTGTAGGCCAAAGATTAGTAGAAAGAACGCTGAAAATCGCTGTAGAAAATCGAAGTAGTATCAAATTGGTACTAACAATAGACTAGTTGGACCTTGTTCTATGATGTAGTACCAAACGCAGAACAAGGTTATCGGTGCTTTAGAACCTTGTGTTTTTTGGAAAACACATTTTTTATGGTGATGAATTAGTTGATGCCTTCAAATCCCGCTGCGCACGCATGTACAATGTTCAAATTCTAATTGGACATCACATTCGAATTTGGTGGGCTCAAGCTCAGCTTATTCGAATCTCAAGCTCTTGTAGGATTGAAAACAGAGTAAAACTATCAGGATTGAAAACAGAGTAATACTATCACTGACTAAATGCCATACATTGCATACAAGCAACACAATTTTGGGACATGAACCAAGTTATATTATATTTGCTCCTAAAATCACTGCAATTTAATTGGCTCAAAGAACTGAATGCCTTTCTTGAGTGTATATCCAGCAATGATTGCCAAAAAAAAGAGGTGATGAAAAATCAACTTGCCAAACATGCTACAGGAGAAAAACTCGTCTACACATTTTGTACATCCAAAACCATTCTCCTTGCCATGGCTGCTTAGCCGCACATGGCAAGAGCAAGATATTGATTAACAATTACTGGAGCGTTAAACCACTTGATAATTATCAGCAACCAAACGAACCCTCTGCGAATACTTTGGAGGGTTGCTACCTTCCTTCAAAGGGCGGATTCCAGGAACCTGAAAATATCCAGCAAAAAGAATTAACAAAAACGGAGACATGGGAAGGAGAATCTGTCAAACAAAATGGGCAAACTAACCTTCACATCACTGAAAGTATTCGATGTGGAAAATCCAACGGATATGGGGAAAAACATTGATGGATCAGCTGGGGGAACAAATTCCATGGATCCACTGCAAGGGTTCACAAAAATTCTGTAAATTTCATCATATTTTTTTGCTGCATTCGGAAGCATAAGTTAAACGACAAACATCATTAAGAGGAACTCTGTAAACTTCATCGTATTTGCTGGTGCATTCGGAAGCATAAGCAACGAGCATGTATGATTAATTGTCCTTGACCTTGTACAAATTTCGTGGGTTTAGACTACTCTTCAAGATTAATGTAAATTGCTAGTAGGCATATGGAATATTTACAACTAGTTGAGAAATTGTAGATGTATATGTTTAAATAATGTGAAAATGATGTGGAGATAATCATTTGACATTGCTTACATATTGAGTTCTAAAAATACAATATAATTATAAATAATATATCAGGTTTGCATGATATTTGTCGAGGAGTGATCCTCTCTAGCGGGATATCGTGAGATCCCCCTTTTGTGAGTTCGGCTGGGGGAAAGATCTCGCCTCTAGAGTTCGCGTGTCCGCCCTGAAGGCTGCTAGGTAGCGTGTGCGCGACAAGATTATACAGGTTTACTGAGAGTCGTCCCCTTGCTCGGTGGGCAGGGTCCTCCTTTTATAGCTCAAGGGGATACCACATGCACCGCCTCTACCTACTCTTCTACGGGGTGGGGACCCACCCTACCTTGACCGAATCACGATCTGTGCCTTCGCCTGGAAGCTAAGCCGCATCCCGTCCTTGAGCGGGACCTAGCGCCGCCCCCCGCCTGACACGGGGGACAGCCCTATCATTCCCTCATAAATGGGTGAAGACTTGAGGTGGTCCTCCTCTCATGGAGGGAGCTCCGAATGACACTCCGATGGGACGGGTCATACCTACCTCCACTCCGCCGGATACAGAGGCGACGTGGGGGCACGGCCGCCCGTCCAATCGGTCGTGACCAGTGATAGGCCGGTCACAGACCGGTCATTCCTGACTGACGTGCGTCAGTCGGGCGGTACCGCATGTCTGCCCCCACCACATTAAATGCGGCGAGGGGCAGTTGGGGCGCCGCGCGCATTGATAGTGGTTCAGCCTGGGTCCCCTCCCCGCTCGCTCCCCCCGCCACATGGCAGTTGGGCGAGGGCCTCGGGGCAAGGCGGCACGAGGGCCCGAGGGGCATGACGTGGCACCCCGATGCCCCCCGACCACTTCTGCGATTCGCAAGGTGCGGGGGTAGGGCCAGGATGTAGGGCCACGTGGCTGGATGGGAAGGCAAATTCCCCTCACTTTGCATACCCTCGGGCCTATATCTCCGACAATATTTAAAATACTCTAGATAATATTTGTAAGTGGGTGATGATGTAGCACACTTGCATCTGATTTAAAATACTCTACATAATAATTGCTAGTGGGTGATGATATGTCACACTTGCATGTTAAATTTTCAGGAATGCTGTGGGACGGGATACCGTCCCCCAACGGGATAGCTCCTCCTCCACAACGCGATTCCTGCTCACTCACTGTCGTCGTCGTCCCCCCGCTGCCGCGCCCGTCCCCCGTCGCCTCCACCGTTGCCGCCACCGCCGCCGCCGCCGCGCCCGTCCGCCGCCGCCGTCGTCGCTATCCCCCGCTGCCACCGCGCCCGTGCCCCGTCGACACCGCCGCCACCGTTGCTGTCCCCTGCCGCCGCCAAGCCCGACCCCCGCCGCCGCCGCCGTGCCCGTCCCCCGCTACCGCCGCCATCGCCGTGCCCGTACCCTGCCGCCGCCGTCGCCGTCCTCATCTACATGGGACGGCTGCAGGTGACCGACTGCGCGTGTCGAGGTGCTCCTTCCCCAACGGGATGCCCAGCTATATCTAGTAGGAATCACCTGATACCTGTTAGGTATCATCTTATACCTCGCAAGTATAACGCGATACATGGTAGAAATCGTTTGATACCTGATAAGTATCATGTGATACCTCGCGAGTATCACGCGATACGTGGTAGAAATCGCCTGATACATGACAGGTATCGCATAAAACCTCGTGAGTATCACGCAATACGTGATTGAAATCGTCTGATACCTGACAGGTTTCACATGATACCTCGCGAGTATCACGCGATACGTGGTAGAAATCGCATGATATCTGATAAGTATCACATGATACTTGCAAGTATCACCTGAAACGTGTGTAGAATCGTCTGATACCTGATAGGTATCACACATGATACCTACTCGGAATCATTATGTTGTGTAGAATCGTCTGATACCTGATAGGTATCACACCTGATACCTACTCGGGATCATCCCGTTCGAAAACAGGATTCCGTTATATAGCAGCCCCCTAAATTTTAATTGCATTCGGGAGCATAAGCGATGAGCATGCATGATTAATTGTCCTTGACCTTGTACAAATTTCTAGAGTTTAGACTACTGATCTTCAAGATTAATTTAAATTGCAAGTAGGCATATGGAATATTTACAACTAGTTGATACACCGCACTTTGTTGCGGGATATGTGGATTAATCCGTGTTATACTTTAGAGAAATTGTAGATGTATATGTTTAAATAATGTGAAAATGATGTGTAAATAATCATTTGACATTGCTTACATATTGAGTTCTAAAAATACAACAAAATTATAAATGATATGTCATGTTTGCGTGATATTTAAAACACTTTTAGATAATAATTGCTACTGGATGATGATGTAGCACACTTGCATGTGATTTAAATACTTCAAATAATAATTATTAGTGGGTGATGCTGTAGCACACTTTTATGTTAAGCTTTAGTAGTTAGTGGGCATCAACTTTATAGTAAGATATGATTGGTGTTGTGTACTAGAATATCCAAATCCTGATGTACACAAGTCAGGTCCTGATCTTCCGATAGGTATTGATAAACAGTCAATTTGGATGGAATCGCGACACAATTCGATCCGGCTTCTGAACGAACATGCTACTGAGCCCCGCAATCGCAGCACCACGTCTCCTCTGGTTATCAACCGTGCCGAAACCCGGTTGACCTCGCCGAGAAGGCTAATCCCTGCATGCGAATCGAAGAACACAAGCAATAACAAGATAGATTGCAACCAAATTGCATATGAATGGTTAAGCACATGAATTTGGGGTTTCACAAACCGATCTAGCGGCGAAACTGTTCATAACAGAATAATCTAAGCAAAACCCAAAAACCTAAAGATAGCGGCGGTACTGATATATAGAGTTTAGGGTCGTGCAACCCCCTCTCGACGCAACCCTAATAGATTCCAACACGATACACGGCCCAAAGGCCCAAATACGGTGACGCAGCACCGGGACAGATTCTGGACATCAACTTGTTTGGTCGATTCCCATTGACCTGGAAAGAATTTGGACGTGGGACCAGAACCATTGGAAAGGTTATCTTCTTAACTTTCCATCCATATAAAGAATGCCCCAATCTGAGCACGTATGCGACCTGGGCGCCCGTTTTAGTGCAGACTGATCCTGGACTCCAAATTGCACCCGAGGTCGAATTGGTTTGGGCCTCCACCTTGACTTGGACGTCCTCGATGATCCTCCATGACTCTAAGTCCTTCTCCAAGTGTCTCCTTGTCTCCTCCATTGTTCCTAATCACAATATAATCATGAGGTAGCAATCTATTCTCGAATTTATAAAAACAAGAACATAGGAACGAGCTCACCTCTAAATTCAATTGCCGCGCACGAGCTCTTGTTATCGGTCCTTGAATGACCGTTGGAGGATTGTTATGTGTATCCGAGGTAGTAATGCCCGCATCACAAGTGGTTGGAGTTAAGGTGTATTTTAGACAAACGCAATAGCTTAGGCAGGGTAAGATGAACTTATCACTTTAAATGACACCTATACATAGGAATCACTACTTGATAGATAGAAGGCAATTGTACCTAGAGTGTCACTACATACAGAATCAGTGTCTGGAACGACTCCTGTATGTTATGAAAAATATATGGGCTAGAAGTGCACTAGAAGTTCGGACTAGGATGCAATGGGAAAGACCATATGTATGAGGATTTAGGTATGACCTCCAAAGATGTTCAAATCTCGTTATCTCAGCCACAGTGCAGCACCAAACAGTACCATTAGGGTGGTTTTTATTTTAGCCTTTACTGAAAATTCTGAAGGGTGGTCATCCAAGCTACAGATCGACGGAGATGCTCTAGGTATTGGCCATTGGGATAAACAAATATGTAGTACCTTCGGAGTTCCTGATGTTCTTTAGTGCATAAACATGGAATACCCTCCAGTATAAAAAAAATCAAATCAGCAGAAAAAGAAATCTTTTTTAGCATGTTCTCACCACTGTATTCATATATCCACCCGTGTTCATTGAGTCACGTGTTAGCTGACCAGATTAGCAAAACATAAATTGAAGTTGGTGATTTGAATTTATTTCCAAATAAAAATGCCTTATTTTATAGTTCTTTATTGAAATTTTACGTCTGCATGTTTTCAATACGAGATGTACATTTATCTCACAAACATAAACTGGTATATTCGTTGGCCTTAACCTTTAACCTCCCTCGAACCTAAACAAGAAAATAATACTCGAAATCTAATTCAAACAACTATATATGATGCTAGCTACTAAAGGAAACCAACTACTACTTCCTTGATAGAGAATTATTAAAAACACATTGAAATCTTGTTGTCTCCGTTTTTGCCATGAAATTAAAAATTGCTATATCTAACTTTAACTTCAGACATGTCCATTGAGACTATGTTCAAGACAGGACATAATATGTCATAATTAAGGAAAAAAAGGGATATTCGGCAAAAAAAAAAGGATAAAATGGAATGAAAAAAATAAAAAAGTTGATGCCATGCAATAGAAATTGACACAGTAAGTAGGTAAACATAATTTCATCATCATGCCAAGCTTTAAAGCTTTACAAGCAGTACATGTATAGTTTTATGAAATCTTTCATGTACTCCTATGTTAAGTGATAAGTATACTGGTTCGATAGATGTATATATATATAGCCCTATCTCAACCTACGCAGTAGTTGGTAATCTGCACATCCATTCAGCAAACATGCATGGGCCAGCTGTAATAAAAAAAATGTTGAAGCGGATTTGGAGAAGATTAAACATTGGGGAATAAGATGAGATATGGGGAAAGAAAAAACTTCTTTACAGAAACCCAGTCCAGTAATTTATTCCAGATTGGTTGACACATGACCAAGGGATCTGCAGGCCAACTGATCACACCAAACACCATTCACAAGAACTCAGCAAATTTCATCTTAATTTTTGTTGCGCTCGAAAGCATAAACGACGACGAGGACGTTTAATTAATTGTCCTTGACCTTGTACAAGTTTCTCATCTCATCCACTATTGATCTCTTCAACATTTATTTAAATTGCTACAATGCATACGGAATTACCATCTGTATGGTGCACTGCTAGAGTCCAAATCTTGATGTCCACAGATATATATGGTTGAAGTTAGGGGTGTATTTGGTAGTTGAGGGAGGATTAAATGGAGAATTTAGACTATTCGGCTAAATAGACTTATCACTTTTAAGTGATATATACCAACAAAGGAGTCACTGTCTCGAACGG